AAATAATATTTTGCATTATTGTTTTCCAAATTCCTGTAGTTCATCTTTTTTCTCAAAGCCATGTTTGACTTCTGTATTCATGTCAGTAGAATAATTTATTTAAAAAGGCACAGGAAGTGCAGTCTTTTCCTGATCTTAGCCAAAAATTAATAACATAGGAGGCCATAACAGAGTTGGATGGTGACTTGCAGTTGAGGAATGAAGCTAATGTTTTAGGTGGTGCAGTGAATCTTTTATTTTAGATCTAAAAGTTGGTCTCATAATAATTATGTGAGATACCTAACCTTTCGGTTCAGAAGTTTTCTTCTGGTTGACACTTCCAGATAGTCCTTTGAAATACAAGTTAGAAGTTATTATAATCATGAGGAAACAAGAATTGAAAGGTAGATGAAGGATGACTTTCTTTTGCATTTTTCTATATCTGGTGTGATAACCTACCATTCATAAAATTTTCATATTTTTAAACTTTTTAATGTATTTTACATTATTTCAAAAGTTTATAAGATTGAACTTAGGCAGATACATATATGGAAAACTGAAAAATATATACGTAAGTATTTACCAATATTAGAGTCCGATGTTCTTCCAAGGTCGGATAATTCTATAAGACTAAGAATACTTCATGCTTCTAATCCTCTCTTTTTCGGTCTTTTGGATGTTATTTTTTGTTTTCAGACAATGAAGTATTTATAAAGATACCTCCACTTTCAATTAGTCTTTGATTAAAATTTTGTTGTCAGAGTGATAAATTCAATTTAGAAAGATTTGTATTTTCTGCTTATCTATTTATGCTAACATGGTGTTGGTGATTATGGAAATCAAAGTGGGTGATGGTGTTCATATTCTATAATAACGCATGCTACCCTTTTCTTTGATGAAAAGACCAAAACTTGTTCTTTATCTATCATGGCCCTTTTTTCTTTTTCTTGGTCACCTAATCATGTTGAAACTAAGTACTTTGATATTATATGATGTCTGAGTTGGTATTTGGTAACATAACATAATCAGTGAATAATTTGTGCTTATTTTTTAAATTTTTATACTGACTTTTTCATATATTTGTTTATTAGATAACTGGGGTCATAGTTTGATTTAGTGTCTCTAAAAAAACTATTCACATAAGGTTTTTTATTTGGGGAGACTTCTAACAACAAATAGTTTTTATTTGTGGAGACTTCTAACAAATTATTGAGTTAATCGAAATGTGTTGCATTCGAAATTATTTTGAAAAACTACGAAAAAATACAAAATAAATTATGATGTAGGAAATCAGATTTTGGATTTAGGAATTGTTAAAAAATATTATTCGACTTTCAAAAGAAATCTCAAAAATTATAAAAAAATAAGCTAAAAATTAATATATTAATTAGGAAAAATAT